TGCCTTTTTTTATCCACTAGAACTGTGTCGCCTAAGGCTGTAATCTCAGAAAGGTTACAGCTTGAACCTTTCTGAATTTCCATGAACTTCTTTTTGATTGGGTGCTGTTTAATAGCAATGAAGAATATATTTATTTACTGATGAAAGCATCGTACTGTAGCTGCAGAAAACACCGTATGTGCTACCGATAGTGTACCAGTAAGCTTATATTTAACTAATAATCGTATCTTAAGATCAGGTAGATACCAGATGGATCAAATACTAGTATATGTAACTGAGAATCTAATTGGAAATTTTATGCACTTACTGGTCTCGCGAGCTGGCATTTGGTGTGAATAATTTAATTTGGTGATTCTTATCTTTATATATATTCTGTTTCAGTGTCCAGTTTAAAATGTGTGCATTTCTTTGCATATCCCTCTTCAAGCCTTCAGGCATTAAAATATTAAATTATACAGCAAATATCTCAAATATTTAGGTGAATCGACACATTCAACTCACAGGATTTGTGCCTGAAGAGCTATTTGTGGTTTCAGTGAAGTACCCTCTAGTTTTGATATTTTCTTTACGAAAGAAACAGGTTTGCAAGAAGGTTTGAAAACTTGCAGGCATTGAGCCAGCTTCCCACTTTTTGGGTTGTCATAGGATAGGGATAGCTACTGATGCATCAGAGGAATCGAAAGGAAATTCCACTGGAAGTATTATATATAGCAGAACCTGAGCAGCCAAGGCTAATTATGCTATTATTACAGATTCCAAGTTCCTAATCTTCACATTCCATGTCTGCCCTAGTTCTTGGGTCCCTAATGGCTATGTTCTCTTGCAACCACAGTGTCCTTTTTTCAGGGAGCCCCTGCAGTTGATTCTCTTCCCATAATACAGCAACACCAGTGTAGTCATTTGAGGATGTTTGGAAGTCACCTTAGGGCAACAGTGCAATAGAAAAAGTCCACTTTGTGATCCAGGCCTTGTGATGGTCAATGCAAATCTCCATAGGAGCAAATGCCACAAACCAGCCCTACATCCTGTGTATATTAACTGAAAGTAAATTCTGCTGGCATCTACAGAATATACTTCCAAATTAATCATATTATCTAGTCATAGTTCTTACTGAAAACAGGTTTATTCTACAAGTTGTAAAGGACTGTCCATTGGCATTTTAAATCTGGTAGCAGAACAGTGTTTTTCCCATCAGTTATTGAGTCTTGCTGCAGTTGTTCCATGTATGGATTAATGCCCTTCAATCTGAACGTTGGCTACTGACCTCAGCCTCTGATCTTTATTGATCAGTACTTACAAGAGCCTTTTGCCAATGACTATTTATCTCCCCAATATACAGTCAGGCTGTTTCCTGCCTGGGTCAAGCAGACTGAGAAGCATGTTTTTTATCCATGAGTTGCTCATGCTCACAGATACAGGCACCACCACTGCATTTTACTCATATAATATGGATTTTAGCTATTCAGAATATTTCCATATTTAATTTTCTGTTTATGGGGCATACAGTGACAAATCTTTCATAGGTATGCTGTAGTTCAGTGGTCCCCAACCTTGGGCCTCCAGATGTTTTTGGACTGCAACTCCCCAAAGCCTTCACCAACACCTCTAATGGCCAGGATTTCTGGGAGTTGAAGTCCAAGAACATCTGGAGGCTCAAGGTTGGGAACCACTGCTGTAGTTAATAATATTCTCTTAATACTCTTTCAGTTTGATGGGATTATCCTGTGTGAGAAATGTACCACAGAACATACCTATCTTCTGCAGGAAAATATTGGTTCTAGTGATTTGTCATTTCTGGGGGGATTTTTCCACCATTACTGCTTATCTCATCAAGTAAGCTCTGATAAGGGGTCTCAGAAACCACAGGATTTATCAGAGTATCCCCTGGATTCCACAGTTTAAAAAATCATGATCATATTTAGCCTTGCCTGTAGTTCTCATGCTTTAGTCCACTTTTTTAAAAAAAAAAAATATTTGAAATATTAGATTCAGAAGGTGATATAGCTGGTATTTTTTAAAGAATAAATCTCAATATACATTGCTGAACTATGTGAAGGAAATTAAAATATTCCACAATTTCAGTAAATATACTATTTGATTAAAGTCTTGGTAGGGCATCCATCTTACTGACAGTGCACAGGTTGATAAAGTCAGAGTAAGTTAGAAAGGCATTACATGATAAAATCAAAGTAAGTTTGAATATAGGAAGCAGCCCTTTGATCTTCCTTTAGGAAGATCTATTGAGTAGAAATGTATTTCTCTGCAGACAGATTACTGCCAGTGGATTTCCTGAGTCAGAAAGTCTAATTTATTTCTGTTGTATAATGTGCATTGTAAGATTTATGTGTACATTTTTCTGAACATCTTTGTGAGCGTATGTGTGTTTTGATAAACTGAAAAGTAGTAAGTGAAAAAGGATAAGAGAGAGGCTAGCAGAGAAAGAGAGGCTTATAAATCAGTTCACAAGATACAGTTTGATGGATTTCAGTCAGATATTTCCAGGAAGGTGTTGCTGATAGTTTGGGAAAATGTGTGATATTTGCTACCTTATATTTTTCCATGACAGTCAAGCCTACCATGCTAATATCTATGCCTACGGATAGGTCTTCTGGGTTTATTGGAATGGGGAAGAAACCCAAAGGAATCTCTCTCTCTCTCTCTCTCTCTCTCACACACACACACACACTCACTCACTCACTCACTCACTCACTCACTCACTCACTCACTCACTCACTCACTCACTCACTCTCTTCATTTTTGGGTTCTTTTGTGGATTCCAGAGAGAGAGAGTCTGTTAAACCCAAAGGATTTGTTTAAATGAAAGAAAGCGGCATGACAATTACACATTCTTTCATGTTTCTTTCTTACCTCAAATGTTTTCATCCTGCAGATCTTCTATAAACTTTTCCCTCACCTCACCACCACTGCCAGGCATCTCTTTACCCTGCTGCTACCTCTGTCAGACCCACCCTTTTCTCCCGCTCCTTCCTTTGCTGCCACCACCACGTTCCTTGCCTTGCTGACAGCTCCACGTCCCCCTCACGTTCCATGCCTCACTGCTACCACAGTGCTTCTTGTACTGCTGCCACCCTGTCAGCCTCACTTTCCCCTCCTTTTCCTTCCCAAGCCGCTACCACCACATTCCTTACTATGCTGCTCATCTTGCTTTCCCCTTTCCCTCCATTCCTCTCCACTGCCATGAAACATAAGATTCCAATATTCACATCCCTATAGAAGTACTCAGTGGTTAGATGGGTGTTGGAGGTTTGCAGTTGCAAACTCCTATGGCGCCTTTCTTGATTTATACTCCTCCTAATTAGCTTAGTTATTTGCATTTATACTCAGTTTATCACTGACCTGATTTGAATGTCAGGGTAAGTAATAAATTAGGTTACGCACAAGCAGCATATGTCTACTTGCATTTCCTTGTCTGTCACTTCCCCTTTTCCTTTCTGTGATCAAGCAAACAAGGATCTGCATGTCATTATAGCCCCAGTTATGCTCAACCCTGAAAATGTGCTTCCATACAAGGGAGGATTTGTAATCCAACATTAAACCATAGTTTACTGCTAGCTTAGTTATTTGCATTTATACTCAGTTTATCACTGACCTGATTTGAATGTCAGGGTAAGTAATAAATTAGGTTACGCACAAGCAGCATATGTCTACTTGCATTTCCTTGTCTGTCACTTCCCCTTTTCCTTTCTGTGATCAAGCAAAGATCTGCATGTCATTATAGTCCCTGTTATGCTCAACCCTGAAAATGTGCTTCCATACAAGGGAGGATTTGTAATCCAACATTAAACCATAGTTTACTGCTAGCTTATTTCAAACTCACTAAGCCTTTAAACATAGTTCTTCATTGGTTTCACCACTAGCATAAATAGAAGAGGAAATGAAAGGAAGAGATTGTTTATTATTCAAAAATACAAGACATAATCTTTGACTAGTATTATATAACAGACACAAGTTTTAACCAGAAACCTCAGTGTAGTATATACACTGTTCCTAATACTGCTATTTTTTTCACAGCTCTGATGGTGTTATTTCAGAGATCTGTAGCTGATTGTAATATTTTATACAATTCGGTGGCTTTGTTTCCAATGTCCCAGTGACTGTGGACACCATTGAAATGTGTTTCATCCTCAAGCCAGTTATTTCTATTGCCAGGTCTCTTCCTCCTCCTCTTCTTCCATTTCTGTCCTTTCTTGCTACTACTAGTTAGTGCTCAAAGTGGCTTACACAGTGTAAAAGAAAGAAAAAATAACAGTATAAAACATTCTTTGTCTGCATTTGACTATTGTACTATGTTCTGTCTGGGTATAGCTTTGAAGAGGGTCAGGTGCATGTTAGCTTCAAAATTACGTATTAAAATATCAATTCTTTCCCTACACATGATGGTGCATTGAACTAAATGAAGTGTTAGCCCCAATGAGAATAGACTCATTGAAATCAGTGGTACTTAGGGATGTGTTGACTAATTGACTAAGAGGTCCCATTTATGTCAGTGAGTCTACTCCAGTTGAGACTATTAGATTTAGCCCATTATCTCTTTGCAGGAAAAAAATCCTATGTGAAACGGCCCTTTAGCTCACTCATTAACTACCTTAGCACCTTGCTGCAATTTCAGTGAGATGAAGAAAGTAAAATAGCTTTGGTACAAGTTTCATTAGAAAAGAATATGCTGATAACAAGTCAGAATTTTGTAATAAGCTCATTTGTTATATAGGCAAAGACTGATTCACCGTTATAGTTTTGGAATAACACAGCAGTAACCTTTCTTATACTGTGCCACACACAACCCCACATGCCAGCTATAAAATTAGGAATCCTTTTGCAGCTGCAGGAAGTTGCTAAGAAAACCTTTGTGTGGGTAATATTAACATTCTTTACTCCGTGCTACATTTCTAAAGCCTGTTCTCAAATTATTTTTCATTGTCTCATTGCTAATATGCAAGGCAGATTCGTAATATAATCTTATTTGTTCTTTCCCCCCGCAGATGAGCCCTCTCTTTAGAGATACAGTACTGAAGAGAACATACAATATCACATTGAATAATCCATTTCTGATTCAAGCACACAATTCTGTTTTCAAATCTTTGACAGAGAGCCGAGACCGTTTCTGTGCACCTAATGAAGTAGGCTCAAAAAAGTGAGTAGTGCCTCCCCCTTTCCTCCCAGTCTCTATATTTATTGATCAATGCAGGCTGGTTAAGGCTCAAGAAAAAAACCTATTTTGCTGATAAATGTCATGTGGATTAAAGCAGACCATCTGCACTCAAGGAGTCTGCATTTAAGTTTCAAATACTATAGAAATTGTATTTCAGTAGAAGATATTTCCAGTAGCCTAATTCGTTCAGCTAATGGGCATGTAAAGTCTGCAATGGAAGACTAGGGCTAGACTTTATTTTACAGTACTTGGAAGACATGAAAAGGAAAATTCAAAAATTATTAACTGGACTTCAGCAGGAAAAAAATGTCATTATTATGAGAATGTTGAAGATGAACTGTCGAACATTGTGGAGCTGGCTAGAAATCAGGGTCCAGTAAGGAACAGGATGGAATTAAGTCATAAATGGAGATGCTTCATTTGATAGTGGCAACAGGGAAACCTACATTAAATTGACAGTCCTTTTCTATTCTCTTTCCATACAGGCAAAATGAAGGTTTAGTAACTGATAATAAATAAATCCCTTTGAAGGCCTTGGAAGAAATATCTAAAGTTTGATTATGATATCCATGAAGAGCTCAAATGTGTCTCGAATGTTCAGAAATCTGAAAACTCCTTTTGCAAGATGGTTTTTGTTTTTTTTTCTTTCTGAGCTTTTCTCCCTAGTACAAAGCCACCGTGCAAAGTTTCCTTGACACTGCAAATGTATCTGCCTGCTGTAAATTTTTCCCCTACGTTGCTGATAACTTTGCTTTGAGTGTACGTGCGTGCGTGTGATAATTTGACATATACATTTTTGCAAGAGTTAATAAAGCTATTTTTGAAAATGAATTGCTGTATCCACTTCCCAAGCTGTATATTTTAATTTTTGAATTTGGTCTTTGTGAGATCATGTTTTACTTACTTACTTACTTACTTACTTACTTACTTACTTACTTACTTACTTACTTACTTACTTACTTACTTACTTACTTACTTACTTACTTACTTACTTACTTACTTACTTACTTACTTACTTACTTACTTACTTACTTACTTACTTACTTACTTACTTACTTACTTACTTACTTACTTACTTACTTACTTACTTACTTACTTACTTACTTATTTATTTATTTGGAGGCAAAGCAACCAAGTAACACAACTGGCAAACATTATTCCAAAGGAAAACTTGCTTAGAAAGTAAAACTCAGCCAGATGACCTTGGCACCATTTGGTGTGGCAGTCAGCACAACATGGGGCTTGATATTCTTAGAAGAGTCATCATGTTCATTTCTGAATGGGACTACCAAAGGATAGACAGGAGAGATAGAGCTTCAGTGGACTGAAGGAACTTCAAGGTTCTTAAACACCATTTCTCTCTTTGCCACAGCATCTGCTCTCAGCAAGTGTGTGTATGAGTGGCGTGTGTCTCTGTGTGTGAACATTTGGCCAGCCTGTGTGGGTAGGGGGATACAAATCCTCAATGGTCTCATCCTTGGGTTTAAAGAAAAGAAATGAAACATTCTACCTCCTGTTGTAAGTAGCAAGGTCTTCCCTGGTGTTCTAGATAAGAATCCCAGCACCTGCAAAATTCATTTTTTTTCTGGAGAATTTCTGATTTTGATTTAGTGAGTCTTCTACTCTGTAAGTTTCATTGCTTCAAAAATGGACCTGCTCTACTTGTTACGTACTATGCTAAAGTAAGCCACAACTGCAGTATGCCTGTTTCAGTCTATGGAACGTATGGAGGAATTGACTCAATAAATCCTCATTGGTTCAGTAGATCTACTGTAGTGTGATTCACTACACTAAGGAACAGGATTTCAGCCGCTGTCTTAGAATTCTGTTTCTGTGAGGTATGGCTTTTGCTATTTTTACATTATTTTATTTTTAAGAAACAATTAAGAAGTAATACATTGGCAACTTACTACCAATAAGCAACCTGGCTCATGTTTCAAGCAAAGAATTATTTTTTCATTAACTAATGCTAACATGCAGGGATGTTGGCAAAAGTTTGGGTCCAAGCCTAGTTTGAGTCTTTGGTACCAAGTCCCTAGCCCCATGTTTGATCCCCTGTTAAAAACAAGGAAGGAAGGGAGCAGTGTATGCATTCTGAGCCCAAGTCATTGAAATAATGAGTTGAATTCCTGGTGCTACTTAAGTGCTACTTAAGTCTGACTTGACTGCAAGTCTATCAACTCAAGTCCCCATCTCTGCTAACATGGTACTTTTTGCAATAATTTTTCAAAAATCTATGTATTGCTATTGCTAACTACATGTTAGGTGATTAGAGAAGCCATGTCTTTGTCCCCATTTCTATGATGATAAAAGCCAGATTTAGGATATAATAATTCTAAATCAAAGAATTGGGTTTCAGGTGTACTGCTTTATTGCTAAAATGAAAAGAAATAGGGATGTCCCTTCCCTGTAGACAACAGGTATAACTAGGAAATTAAGAGATTTCAGTGCTGTAGAGATTTTATACAAGAAATCTCAGATCTGACATGAGATAAAGATGCCACATTGTGTTTTTTCCATGTTGCATTTTTCACAATTTGCTCAAAATGCGGTTTGCATTACATTTCTCTTCTGTGCAAACCGAGTATCTCTTCATTCAGAGAAGCTCTGTGCATGCACACATGCCCTCCACATGCAGAGGAGATGCTGATTGATCACATAAACAAAAATAAGCCACAAAATACTTTGACTTTTGCTAGTTAATGCAACGAGGGAACACATTGTCCAGTACAAAATATTTTTCGGAAATACTTAAAAACTTCTTGGAAAGATGCAAGTTTAAGACTGTCTGAGGTAATGTCCATTTAGGAAATTGGCACAATTTGAGAAACAGCAATCTACTTTGTAAAGGACACGGCACTGAAGACCAAATCCGTCAGAAGATACCACATATTTGAAATAAATGGTTGAGCTTAACCTCTTGTGCTTTCCAAATTCGCACCCAGCTCCCCTACATAACCTCACCCTTGTTTTCTCCTAATCTATATTATTATAACTAATCATTGTGTCATTTTTGCTGAGAGAGAAAGTTGCTTACCACAATGCGGCTACCTGACCTCAAAATGGCCTGACCTCACAACTTTTTGAAGCTGGATCTTTGTCCTAGTTGAACAACAAATAAAGCTTCATACTTCACCAGACTATACTGGAATGAAGATCATTAAGGAAGAACTTCAAACTGGAAAATGTTCTTAATTTCGACTCTGGAGTCAAATCCAGTTTTATGTGGGTGGTATATAGATGCAGAGTGCTGGTCTTAGCAAAACATTGAAAGCTAACTACCAATTAAAAAGCATTGGGCAATATATCATTGCTATGTTCAGCAATAAAGTGTCTTAAATTCACAGTAACCATTGATAACTTCTTTTTATCACATCCTAATAAAGACTCTGCAGAGCTACTAGATCGCGTCCTATTATGGAGTAATTTGTGGCAATATTCACTATGTGATATACACTGCAGTAGCATGATTCATAGTCTCCTTCATTCAACTCAGACTTTTAAAGTGGAAACAAAATATTGAAGCTTGTGAAATGTTTTCCAAGGCTCATACTTTGCACAGATTCACGAAAAGGAATATTTTGTTTGAAAAATTTGGAGCAAAAGAAGCACCAAGAATTCCTTACAGTATTTCTTTTTCAGAGAGGTTTCCAACTGTGTTCTCCACAGAAGTACCAGTAATCATATTATATTCCCAACTATTTCCCACTCCTTTGTCGAGGCTATCTTTATCTGTGTACTGGTAACTACCGACCTGCTTTGTTCTCAACTCTTATTTTACTTGTGTATGAAACACACATCATTTATTTGCCAGAGTCCTAAAGCCTGGCTTGTTTTCTAGAGATCATTTCAAGTGATGTAATATTGACTAACAATATGAATTGATAGTAAATGTACAGAGATTTGCAACTTATGTCACCTTTTCTCTCTACAACATATTTGCAAGTGGCTACATCAAGATGGAAACCGTCATTGTGGACTACACCCACCCTCCAGACTATAGGCACTGCTTTTTTAAAAAACTGGAAATTGCCAAGAAGTTGCTTCTGGTTTTGAAAAAAAAGTCAAACTTAAGCCTCAGAAAGGTGTGCTTTCCCCAGTGAAATAGCTTAAGAATGGAAAATAGTATCACTTGAGGCTTCTGGGCATGAAATTCTCCATTTGTGGGCTTATTTGGTGGGTGGAGGGGATGATGAGGCCTTACTTGGCCCTCTCGCTAGAAAATCATAGTAAGAGTAATTTTCTTCACTCAAGTGGACTGTCCCATGTCGTCCATTTGATTTATTTATATCATACATAATGAAGGAATCTCGCTAGAAAATCATAGTAAGAGTAATTTTCTTCACTCAAGTGGACTGTCCCATGTCGTCCATAATGAAGGAGAGACTCTTCTATGAGTCCAGCAAGGAGTAACACTTAGCAGAAGGGATTGAAGCAATTATTTCTCTGTGTTTTTAAGCAGCCCTCTTGATTGGATAGCTCAGTGAGATATTGAGAGTTTGATTCCCCACTATGCCTATTAGAAGAAGAGCCAACTCCAGAAGACAGGAATGATAAACCACTTTTCAGTTCCATTATCTATCTGCCTGCAGGGATTGAAGCAATTATTTCTCTGTGTTTTTAAGCAGCCCTCTTGATTGGATAGCTCAGTGAGATATTGAGAGTTTGATTCCCCACTATGCCTATTAGAAGAAGAGCCAACTCCAGAAGACAGGAATGATAAACCACTTCTCAGTTCCATTATCTATCTGCCTGCCTGCCTGCCTGTCTGTCTGTCTGTCTGTCTGTCTGTCTGTCTGTCTGTCTGTCTATCTTTTCCTTACCAGTCTATCTATCTATCTATCTATCTTTTCCTTACCAAAGTTTTATAGATTTCATGTGGTTGGACAGGGGAAAAGACCTTTGTTGACCATCGTTTTGAGAGCTGACATCTTACATCTCCAGGTGTGTATTTTTCCTTTGTTTCTCTCACATGAAATTATACTCACATTAAGAGTGTAAAATATGCAATCCTAAAAATTAGTCTTCATGAGATTGAACATTTTTCATGTGCCCAGTGGCTAGAATGGAATAGAATCTACAAACACACTTAATGCGTAAGATACATATTCCTCTTCTTTCCTGTTCAGGAAAGCACCCCAGTCATAAAAACCACAGTTAAAAGGATTATGGCATGACTAAGTGGAATGACAGGGAATGATGCCAACATCCTATTTATTTTAATAATAGTTGGTGTCATTACATAGAATGGTAGGAAAGTTAACTACTGTGCATAATTAGCAGCTAATTTTAAATCTTCCACAACTCAATTATTTAACTTCTTCTAAACTAAGCACACATCTTGAAAACTGACATCAAAGGTACATTCATCACACTCTTTCCAGGGTTATAATTATGAATTACAGCAGGTAACACATCATAGCATTTACTGTACCAACAAGCTCTTACAAAAAAAATCCCAGACGTGCCCTTGCTTATAACAAAAAGCCAAACCGTTTTATTTCAACCATATATTTGAACAATGAAAGTGACATTGTCAGACTGTTTGCCATACTAAACTTAATTATAATGTCTCATCATGCTTTGGTGAATGGTGACACATCTAACATTTCAATTTTTTTCTGTCTCTAATACATTCAGTTTTATAATGATACAATCCTATCTGCAAATACTAAACTCTCTTTTAAAAGAGTAAAGGGTACTTACTCCACTGCATCAAAGATGAAAAAGAGTCCTGTGATACCTTAAAGATGAACAAATTTATGATGCCTTCACAAAAAAGTCCATGTCACCAGATGCCTAATATATTATCCATATCTATTGTTGCATGAGGTGAATGGAATATGAACAGTGAGATCAAAGTGAAATGCCAAAAAGTTAGATGATGATAATTATCTTTTAAATAAGTAGCCATTCTAAGATAATAGGGTTTTAACAGTAAGAAAAGTTCAGCAGTAGTTTACCATTGCTTCCTTCTGTGCAGTACAGTAGGACCCCTGTATCCACAGGATCAATATCACTTACCCATGGTCTGAAAATATTAATGATATTAAATGAAAATACCTAGAAATACGGATTTTTAAGATGTAAAGACTGATCACTAGAGGGAACCAGAACTACACTATATTGGTAAGCCACTGCCATTTTGCCTAGCCCTCTACCTTCCAGAGCAGCATCATTGTAAAACTCAGAACTGGGTTGGATGGTGAGTCCAGAGGAGGGATGCTAACTTAAGCCAAACTGCCACCTGGGAGAGGTTTCCCATCTCCGACTCTTTCTTCCAGCCAGTCTGTTCTTCAACACTCCTGGGCAAACAAGGAAATGCATTGGTGGTTGTAGGTTTTTGGGGCCCAATGCCTGGGGCGGGTCTTTGTGAAGTCATGGTGTGGGGCCTTGTGATGTCATAGGAATTGGCAACATATTATTTCTCCATGCATGTGTGAGGGAGTGAGCTAGGCATTGTGGGTTCCCTGTCTGAGGGGATGGGGAAGATAATCCCATAACAGCCTCTGACAAACAACGAGAATACAAACAAGACAACACTTCTAAACCATTCTGGAAAAATTCTTTTCTTGGTTCTGGAAAAGAGGTTAAATGGGTATCCTCAGGGGAGACAAGGGCCTGGTTCAGTTCCAGCAGGACACCTGCCTTTTGGTCCCTCACTTCCCCCTGGGGAAGAGGAAGCTTCGGGCCCTGCAAGAGAAAGAGAGAGAGAAAAACAACTAAGGGGCGAGCTCGTCCACTGCCGTGAACCGGCTTCAACCCAGGCGTATCCACCAACCAACTTCATCCTGAAGTTCCACCTGCCAACATCCACTCGATTCCACCAGGAATATCCACCCTTTCATCTCTTCCACTCCGCTTCTGAAGCCAGCCTCTGCCAGCTCCCAAATGCTTGGGTCACACCCATGCCCCGGCGACATCCCCATGGAACGCCAGCCAGCCCATTCACACACCCCTTCATTCACACACCAGCCACACACACACACACACACATACCTTCACTCCACCAGCCATTCAGACACACGTCCAGGCTTCCATCCACCAATATCCACCAAGCTTCCATCAGCTGGTTTCAGGAGGCCAACATCCCCCCGCTTCATCCACCAACCTCTGGTGACCTCTGCCTTACAGCCTCAGCCAGCTTCCACAGGGAGATTCCAGCAGCTTCTGTCTGCCAACGTCCACCGACTTCGCCAACATCAGCCAGCTTCAAGCCACAGATTTCTGCCAGCCTTGAGCTGTTAACTCGCAAGCACAATTAGCAAGTTCATCTGCTTTCGCGAGAGAACTTGCCTTGGGCAGAAGGGCTACATCCCCTACAGCCACTGCTGCTCTCTCTGCCGGACTGCCCTCTGGCCACTAGCCTCCCTTCTGGTCTCCTGCCCAGCCCAGCAAGCCCCTTTTATCTACGAGCAGAGAGGTGGGGGCCCTGTGAGGTCACAAAGACCCAGGAGAAAATGGGTTGGGTTCCCAAGGTGGCAGCAGAACCCTAGGGATTGGCTGAGTCTTGAAGATGATGTCATATCATATTTTAGTGGCCTATAAATGTCACAATCCCTCTGATTGTTACCAGTCCCTCTGATTGTTAAACCCTGTCAGCTGAGTGGAGAGGAAGACTGAGTCACTGGATGGGTCTATGGGAGGACGAGCCAAGAACAGGTATGCCTCGGTGGATGAGAAGGAAGAAGCAGCGGGAAGCACGAGAGATTTGAGGGCTCCTAAATCATGCAAAGAGGAGCACCGGTGGTAGTTTTGAATTAAAATGAAATACGCAGGCAACAACAACAACAACAAAAGAGAGCAGAATAGAAAATGACTGATAAAGGAGGAAAGTACACTTAATTCTAAATATATTAAAGATGACAAACGTGTGGGGGCGGAGGCATGGAGCCATTGGAAGCATTGCAGGGGTGCTCCTGTTCTCTCCTCAATTTTAGCCTTCCAGTGGACAAGTTAAATCCCTACATATCACTAATCTTTATGACTCTTAGTAGATCATGTTTAAGTTTTGAAAGTAAGCAAAAACCTACAATTATTAATAAGAGTCTGGACAATAAATTAATACCAGTGACTGTGCTTTGCATGCTTGTGTTTTCATTATAGCTGATGTTGCAGGTAGGTGGCCCAGCTGTCTTGTTCCTGGGGCCCTATATTTTAGGTCAATTCACATTGACCCATTTGCTGGAGGAACTTGCTTTGTAGCTAGACATTTGCAAACCTAAACATGTCTCCTCAGAGTCCAACTGAG